TACGTTTACCAGAAAGGAGTCTGGAAAGTACCTTAAACAGTACCCAGTGCCAAAAGGTCACCGCCAGGGTATCCAGTCCCCATCAATAGCCAAGCTGAGAATGGCCATGCCAGAGAGCTGCAATCAAAGGCACAAAGCTCCAGCAATGTAGAGAAGAATCTCCATTGAAGAAGAAGAATAAAATTAAGAAGAAAACAAGGTGCTATTAAGAAAAAAAAAAACTTTAGTGTTCCTTTAATGAGTAGAAAAAAAAAAAGTTAGGAACAAGGCTTCAGTTTGTCAAGAATAAACATGAAAGTACATTGTGCCCCATAAGATGAACACTTATTTTGCCAATTAACACCCCATACCCTTGATTCCATGGTCACTGTGTACATCATTGTTCTTTTTATTACTTATATTCTGTAAAGCATGGCATAAAAACAAGCACTTCTTGTAATGCGTTTCTGAAAGAACATTTTTATAACCTGAAACAGGTGGTTTCTACAGCAGTCATTACACTTAGCTGTGCCGAATCAGTCAAACAATGCAAGATTTGTGCGTGACAGATCTGCACAGGACCGTAGAGTGAGTACTACAGCTGGGAATTGTTTGGTAAATGGAAAGTTTTAGGATAATGCATATCAGCCACCAATCACTGGCCATTCTAGGCTATAGTGGTAATCATAAGAAATATCTCTAAATTATTCAGAGTTACATAGTATATTTTGCTTAGTAGCATTTGTAAACCACTAGTCCACAATGACCGCAATCATGACATTTATCTAGTGGAGAATTTTAGGTCCCCTGGGTAGGCAGTTCAATCATGGTAAGAATAGATGCTGCAATGTTCCAAAACCAGTACAAGTCTGAGGTAAATGGCAAATGGTCACTGCCAGCAGAGACTATTCACCCAGATAAGAACTGTGCTTCCCTTTAAGTTATTGAAAACTGTCCACAAAGTATAGCCCTTTGTCAGAATCTAAAAAAGTAGTTAAGCATGGATGCGTTATTGGATCTTATATTGGTTATGTTCCCTATCCCTGTGCAGGCTATTGTGGTTTCTGCTGTCACCACTAACCACACAGTAGAGCAGACTAAGACCAGACCAAAATACCTCTGGTAGCCCAAGTACAAAAGTGATCAGAAGTGGGGAGGAAAGGGTTAGTGCTCTGCAAGGTAGAGGGATGCTGAAGGCCAAGGTGACCAATAGACTTCAGGACACAGAGAAGGGAGAAGAGGAAGTAGGGAAAATTAAGTAGTGGACAAGAGAGCAAAACTGATACACTGCGTGTCCAAAAAAAACCCACCAACTGGATTTAGCTAAGCAAATAGGCATTCCTTTGAATAATAGGTCTAGGTTCAGCAATGTTATGTCCCCAACGCCAGGATTTATCGGGCTCAAATTCTGAAAGTGGTTCAGGGAGCACGAGACATTTTCACACATGAATTGGCCACTAACCCCATTGAGAATCTTTGGGATGTACTGGAAAAGACTTTACAGTGGTCCAACTCTCTCATCACCACTCCAAGATCATCGTGAAACATTAATGAAACACTAGACGGAAAAAAATGTTGTGACATTGCATAAGCTTTCGAAACGATGCAACAGCAAATACATGTCGTAATCAAAGCTAAAGGCGATCCAAACAAATATTAGAGAGTGACTTATTTGGCCAGGCAGTGTAGATTACCAGAACGACGGCTGAAGTAACCCCTTTAGAAAATCCCCGGGTCTGGTGGTGCTAAAGGGAAGGAAGTTGAGGGTAAATCTTAAAGTTGGAGCTCAGGTTTAAAATTCCAACTCCCCCCCTCTCACCCACCAGGGCCATTACAAGCAAATGGTTCTCATGCTTGATGGACACATTCTTAATGTAAAATACATGAATAAAATGGGCCGTGGTAGGTGGAGCTGAGTACACAGGTGCGCCCATTTTGCTTCATTCCAAGTACCTGAAACACACAAGAAGCTGGTGGGTGATTTATCATATAGACATCCACCCATGAATAAAATTGGTTCTGGGTGAACATAGTATTTAAAACTTTGAAAAAAAAGGAAACAAATTGATTTAGGGAAAAACTATTTTAAGAAGTTTTCTTTTATGTCTACAGGGAAGGGAAACAAGAAATAAAGTAAATGGAGCTTTCAGCTCATCAAGCAGCTATGTGGAGCGGACACAAAACGTTGCGATTACTTTTTTTTTTTTTTCACTTTGTCCAAAAGTCCTGGGAGAGAAGTGCAAAACGCAAAATAAACAGCAAGAAAAATGCTGCAGTAGCACTGTTAAAATACAAAATATTTATATTATGGAACTATTAACACATGATGTTCCATGGCAAAACTTTGGAACCACACAGCTGATTTTTGTTTCGTTTTTGTTAAAATCAAGTCCATGTCAACTTCCAAGGATTTATGCGTTTCTCAATTTGCTTCATTCTTCGATGCTTCATCAAAATTCTCTACAAGTTCTGGAAAGGAAAATAGGAAGAAAGAAAAAAACAAATTAGAACAGCCAACATACTCCTGAAGAATGTAGAAGAACATGGTATGACCTGCAACAAAAAGCTGAAGTCTGGAATTCTTGCACTGTTAAATGCTTGTTAATCCCCTGAAGGCCATTCTCTTTGGCACTCCAACCGGCAGTCACACTCTGACATCATGTACAATGCTGGAGCAGCAATCCCGCATTTTACATGAGGACCGTGAAGACTCTCCCATGACCCAGAGCATCAGAAGTCTGTCGGAGCAAGGAAAACAGTAAGTATTTGTCCCTGTTCACACCTGGGAGTTTTGACACTCAAAGCTAAGCGCGACAAAACTCTCAACACAAGAAATTCCATTAATTTCTATGGCCCCTGTTCACACCTGAGAATTTTGTGGCAAGATGTGAATGCTGAAAAAGGTACATGAGCTTTTTACGGGCAGATTACACTGTGTTGGGCCACATAGGCTTATATGGAAGCGCATAACACAAGCGGTTTGCACATTTCTGCGCTCGTTTTGGAAACAGACATACAGCGTATTCCTTTACCCCTAGACTAACAAGCAGGTAACACTTGCATTGCAGGGGACCCATTGCAAGATGATACTTAAGTCTGCTTTCTGCTATACAAAGGATTACGGGATGACAGTACTGATAGCAGGTAGTTGCATTAATTTTTTTATCAAATACATAACTAATTACTTTTTTTTCATTCTTGCAAACAAGGACCCCACTGTACATTGAGAGGGCTGTGAAAAACAGGACCCCCTTTGTGCAAAAAAAAGCATTTAATGTCTGCCGACACAAACTATGAATAGCAGTTTTTGGTTAATGTGAAGCCATGTAAAGAAAATCTATACTATTTCAGCAACACTCAATGTACTCCAAGATTAATATCGCTTTAGGCCACCCCCTGCTAGTTCTCCTTGGAATTCCACAATGGAATGTTAATAGAAACATTGGAGACAGACAGGAAAAGAGGGGAGGGGCACCACACTGATGGAAGATTCAAGTTTACAGGCTATATATATTAAAAAAAAAAAAAAAAAGAGACTTACAGGGGGCGTGTGACTC